GTAGATGAGTCAATTCGGTCATGTCAGATTGGATTAGCATTAAAGTTGAATCATGCTAAATTATTGTGTCTATACGAGTCGAAATTTAAATCGGATTTTTTCGGATAAGATCGAATCAGATCGGTCAAGTTAGATTTTGACAGTTCTAGCTGAGTGTCAAGGCTCCCTAAATTGGGAAGAGCCTTTGATAATTATTCACATGGTATCAAGAGTAGCCACACATATTATTTGTTCTTCTAAAACCCTAACCGTAATATTTTTACGTGCACATCATCACTTCCTTCCATCACCACCGTCGACATCAGCCTTCCACTACTCGCTGTCGATGATCGTGGTTTTCTTAGCTTATTTAGGGCATTATCTGATTGAATAAACTGAGCTGAACTGAACTTATAGGAGTTGAACTGAACTGAACTAAACTAAACTTAATATTTTATGAGAGAAGAAAATTAAGAAATGAAGTGAACTGAAAATAAGGTGAAGAGAACAGATCCTTAGTATATACAAAGTTTCTATAAGTAACATTATAGTAAATGAAATTCAATCTCATTATTTATAATGGCAGACATACCCTAGACATCACAACTAGCTACATTGTGAATTTGTGGCCGTAAATAAAAATATTGTATAGATGTGCATGCCACGCATGTTAATGAGGGAAGTACGTAGTACGTCGAATGTTAGTTCCAAACTACTAATGGACCTAAATAACCGGCCTATATATTTCTTAGAAAAAGATTAATGAATGGTTCAAAAATGAAATGATTCACGTACAACTTGGAAATTAAAATGTTTGGTCTTCATTTTAATTTCTTAAAGTTGAACTATAGACAATGTCAGCAATTTCATATTTACGGATGAGGAAAGCTTCATTGAATTTTTATTAATTAATAATATCGTTACACTTAAATAATCACCACCAATTAAAAAATTAAGTTAACTAATATTGGCTCTTTGTCTATTTATTTTAGATAATATGACTCTTAATGTCTTAACCTCTTTGGGGTCGTTTAAAATGTTTGCCTGACCTAATGGTTATTATTTGCTATGTTCTCCTCTATATTGGGCGCTATTTATATTGTTTTCTACGAGTACATTTTTAATATTTTTTTTTTGGAGGACTATTATTATATATAGATAGTTAATTGATATCCATCACCATTAACAAAATTAAACTAAGGATTATGGTCTCGAATGATGTAGACTTTGTAGTAGCATTTAGTATTATTGTAAGGAATTAGTATTATTGTAAGGATTTATTCATGAAATGAAAAAAAAATAAATTATTTTATCCAAATTTATTTTTCAAAACTTATCCTGCTTAATTAATAAAGTTAGTCAAAATACGATTAAATAAGATCAATCTCTTAGTTAAGTTTTCATACAAAATTAACAATATTGATGTGTATGCATGCATGCATAATTTCTAATGAATAATCAATGTATCACATATGCTAGGTTTATAAGATACTTTTCTATAAATGAATTTTCAGGGGGATAGGCGAAGATAAGATTGCTTGTGAATGTCTGAATGAACCTCGACGTTAAATCATAACCAAACCAACCAATGTTATTTCATATGAAATGATAATCTATCGATCGTAAACAATAGTATGATATAGAGATGTGATCGTTCGTTCGAACAACATAATCGAATCCTAAGGGATCCAACCTACCTACAAAATGTATGGAAAAGAGTAGTGATACCTAGATTTAAATTTCAAAAGATGAAATGATACAAAGTTCGAATGAAGTTATAAAGTTATAAGGTCTAGCTAGGCCGGTAGTAAGAGCTCAATTTATTTCTTCTTATTAAGCATAGGATATGACATAAATGGTAGTAAATCAACCAAAATAACATCATGAGGATGAGAATATGAATCAAGTGTAAACCGCACAAAGTAGTTATTATGGAAGATTAGTCACATAGAACCAAACCGGCCTATATCATGTCGATTATACTTGCAAAAAAGATAGATTTCCATAGTTGTTTTTTATTTTATACGTAAGGATTTAAGTGGGAGAGAAATTTGTGATTCAATTTCAAATGAAAAGTAGGTTTGAATTTAAGCCATCCTACAAATGTATTTTGGATTCTATTCTTTGTATTATGTCAATTTCAATTATTCTTATACTCGTATTATATACTTACTCTGGATTATAAAATAAATGATATATTGTGTGTATTTGATAATTTATTTTGCTGAAACTATTTCAGTCGACATTGTTTTCTTGTTATATATTTGTAGTATGGATATTATTGCGTGAATAAACATTCTTAAGGTGGAAATAAGTCTTAAGATCGATTACTTCATGACAATTTTAACCTTTGTGTACAAAGAAATTTATAATCATTGTACTCGTAAACCAGTTCAAAGGAATATAAGAAATTGATAAGTTTCTTCAAAGTTAATAAATTAGCTAGTTTGGGAATTAAAATTTATAATTAGCCGTTTTGGAAAATACTTTTGTAAAATTAGCCATTTTGATAAAAGACCTTTATTACATTATATAATATGGAGGTATATGGTACAACTGTACTAGGTTACATCAATATAAACTATCACTATATTAAATTCCAGATATATAGGCATAAATGTATAATTTCTTCCACCACATATATATACTAATGTTCAAGGACCAGTAATTTACTCATTTTTGTTACAAGTGAATAATAACTAGATAAATAAACAAAGAAATAAGAGGGAAGGTGTGAAAAGTAAATAAAATAAATTAATAATAAGTAAATAAATAAATAAAAAGCGTGTTTTTTTTGCGGCTGTCTACACCGATTGGTTGCTTGTTTAAAAAAAATAAAATAAAAAAACTAATCCCTATAACACTGATAGATTAACTCTTAATATATTGATAGATAAACTCTTTATTATATTTATTGAGTATCCCCTACAACATTGATTGAATAACCCCTATAATACTTGATAACCTTTATAACACTAACTAATAAGTAACCCTTATAACACTAATGGAGTAATCTTAGCAGTGTCAAAACAGTTTGATAGTTCGGGTTCGGTTTGGAATCGGTTTAGTATTAAATCTGGTCAGTTTGAAATCGGTTTCAGTGTCTCGCGGGTTAGTTTCAATTCGGTTTAAATAGTTATCGGTTCGATTCTCTTTCGGTTTATTCTTGAGCGGTTTTAATTCGGTTCGGATTGTAAACGACTAAACGGTTAGGGAAGTAAACGGTTCGGTGTAAACGGTTCAAACAGTTTCGGGATGGAAACGATTTCGAGTTAGAAACGGTTCGGTTCTTTTTCGGTTCAATTTTATTTTGGTTCGGTTTGTTAACGGGTTCGCCTTTTATACAGTTTAACGTTATTCAGATCAGTTTCAATTCACGTTCATAAATTATGGTTCGGAACGGTTTTTTATTTCAAAAAGTCGGTTTTTAATCGGGTCGTTTGGATTCGGGCTGTGAAACAATTTTGGTTTGAAATTTCATAGTACTTGCTAACCTTTTGTTGGATAACAAGTTTTATATCAAGCCGAGACTTCATCACTTCATATTTAGGTATTAGGCATTATATTATATACAAATTCTCATTGATTTTAAAAATACATATCATGTTTTTTCAAGTTTAGTCATACTGATCTTACTAGTTTATTACGAAGTAACGTAGATTATAAAATTTTAGTGTAGTAATGAATTATTATTGTTTTACTATCACATTATTAGCTGCTTCTTATTCAATCATCTAATTGATGTGTCATAATCATGATTTGATGAGTTATTGTGACATCGAAATTACAGTTTGATTTATAGACAGTTCGGTTTGTAACTGGTTCGGTTTATAAATGGTTCGGTGCAAACGGGTTGCAGTTTGTTAATGGTTCGGTGTAAACGGTTTTTACCTCGGTTTAAACGATTCCGGGTTAGAAACGGTTCAGTTCTTTTTCGGTTCGGTTTGATTTCAGTTCGGTTTAGAACTGGTTCGTTTGTTAACGGGTTCGGTTCTTATACGGTTTGACATTATTCGGATCGGTTCGGTTTCGGTTTTACTTAAATATGATTCGGGTCGGTTTTCGGTTTTACAAAATCGGTTTTTAATCGGTTCGGTTCTCATTTAGTCGGTTGGTTTCGAGCAGTTAAACGGTTTCGGTTTGAAATTTCACAGCACTAAATGTAATCTCATAATAGTCGATAGGTGTGGCTAGCCACATAAAAATTAGAGATACATAAAAGTTAGTGATAAATAAATAATTGGGTCAATAATGTGGAACCAAACTAGAGAATAATTAGAGAAAAAAGGTTTATAAAAAAGGAAATGAATTAAGTAATATATTAAGAAGCTCAAAAATGAAAACGAGGGTTAGTTTAAGGGAGAGTGAAAGTTTCATCAAATAAAAGAGTAGGGGTAGGGGAGATCGTTATATACACCTAGGTGTACCGTCATGAGTATTTTGTTCTCATTTTGATAATTGTTTTTCATTTAATCATCAAATGAAGAAAAGAAACTAACCTTGAGTTAGTTAGGTGTACGGTACACCCGAATGTATATAACAAATTCCAGTGGGGGTGGGTGTGGAGAGGGGATAGAGAGAGTCATAAACACGGACTAATGTGGTAATGCCATATTCATTTCACCTTATATAATGATATTTGGGAAACTTAAATCATTTTGATTAAAATTAAATCTGTTTTTACGAAGCATAATCTTGAGATTCTTTAGTTCATTTTTTTTTTGACAATAAAATAATCCCTTTCAAGGTGAGCTAATTTGCCAACTGAAATAGTAACAAAAATATACACCCCTCTGAGATGTGACAAAGGGGTCTTCAAGGTATTCTCAAGTCAAGACTTTGTTCAACATAGTGTGCTCTTAAACACAATAATAAATAATAAATATAATAAGAATAACAAACCGTTAAAGTGTATGATAACATATAAAATCCCATTTTTAAGGGCTAAGGCAGCAAAATTAAGGATGCCATGTCTGACTTAATGCTATTGTAATGTCATGCAGCAGACACCAACAATTTCAAAATACTGATTCCATGTATTCAACAAATAGAAGAATAAATAATGTTTATACAAGACTTAATCTTATGGCCAATAACAGTATTTAATGATATATTTACAAATTATCTTACATCATATAAGAATAAATAATGTTTATACAAGACTCAATCTTATGGCCAATAACAGCATTTAAAGATATATTTACAAATGATCTTACATCATTAAAAAGGTTGACAACTAATCCATATACAATAGGTCAAATTATGGGCATTGATCATAGAAAGATAGATGCAGTGATTCCTCAGTCTGTGGGCAGACAGAAGATCGCCGTTTTTCCTGTTGACGGGATTTTTTAAAGCCAGGTGCATAGAGAACTATCGTGCCTACCATGGAATAGAATACAGCACCAGCAAATGAACACTTCATGCCCATCACATTTACTAGTTTGGACTCCTTCCAGCTTTCGACAACCTGATCATAGAAACTAAAACCATCAAAGTTTTATTGATTAGATCTGCTTGTAGGTTAATCAATCTCTGTAAAGATGCAAAACCGCAACATCAACTAAGATTTCCATCTTTCCAAATTTAATTGACACATTAGCCAAACCTCTTGCAATCAAGAATGCCGCAAAATTCACAACAAAATCCTTTCATAATACTTGTACATAGTTATCCCCTTCCAATCCTATCAACTCCATATAAGTGAATACATGTTTGAAAATCAAAATTATATACAAGTATATTTCTATTTTAAAGAGTGAGAATATTTTCTGCACAATCTCAACTAGTACACTTGACTTTTAATACTAGATAGAGGGAGTACTTTTCTATGACAATTAAGTATGCAAACATATTACAAACAAATTAAATTGATATCATACAGAATTACAGACTGCAGACAAAGGAATAGACAGGAAAAGTAATATGTTATACTTTGGGATTTCTGAAGGATAGGAAATTGTCCAGGGGGTGACTTGTATAGCATAGAGGTGGCAAGGTACGAAAGGCCATTTTGATTCAAATGTCTCATTTTATCTAGCAATTGAGAATAATGCACTATCATCTTGGACTTATTCAAGAAGAAATTTCCACTTCAATGCAGACATTTCTTCTTACCTTTTTGCTTTTCTAATCATCTCTTTCTTTATCCTGAGAAAGCTTCAGTAGCTATTTGCGTAAGATGTATGTTGACATCTGAAAAACCCACAGATGAAAATGATCGAGATACCAGATATAAACCCCTTAACCAGTAGTATACAGTCAAATGTCAAGAACAATCTTATTTAATTCTTGCCAAGAATAGATCCAATATGATTACTGAGACAATGAATACAATTAACGTACAAAGAAATCTAAGAAAAACATCAACATTTTCAGCAAAAATTCTAATGCCCTTTGTGTACCATCTTCCTCATTCGATAATTTAAGATAACATGAGCTATCTTTAGTCTCCCAAAGTGTAAAAACAAAATTAAAGGAAACACTCAATAATATTCATCATGATTTGCTTTCCTCACTGATCTCTTTGTATTAGAGATTCTCAGTCTAAAGACTTCAGCCCTTTTCAAACTCATTTGAACAAATAATTATGCAGCCAGACCAAGTACAGCCAAAAGTATCACTTTAACATCGTCTATCAACAATTTCTTTGAATTGAAGTGACAGCATGCGGAAGTATTTCTTGTTTTCTAAAGTGTAACAAGGACTACTAGGTTAGGGAAGGTACAACATTAAATTTTCACCACAATCTCATTATCCACAGAATTGACAGGCACCCAAGGTAAAACTTTAATTAGCGTCATTAACCAAACTTAATTTGACCTCAATCCAAACAGATCAGCAAACTATCTTAACCTAATTTCACCAGTTAGCTATAATTAAGGTTAGGTTACACTGAAACAGCTCACCGAGATCCAAAAAACATGCGGATATAATAGATTAAATTTAGCCTGTAGCCTATATCATTGTAATGAACATGGGATTTACTGGCAATTATGAAAAAGAAACAACCCCTTTCAGCATAATTAAGTTGAGGGCACCTTATGATTTAATAAGCACAGCTATGACTGTCCCAATTGCTTTGCCTATCTACGCATGCTGTGTGACCTTGTAAAGGTGTGGTTATGACTTGTAAGCTTAAGTGAAGACTGAATAGAAAAGAGTAGGTTTAGTAGAGTGGTCTATGTAAGAGCACTATTCTCCTAAACTTTTACAAAGATCATGGTGCAAACACCGAGTTTGAAAAGACACATGGCACAACAAGGCAACAGTGGTCCTTGAGTCTAGATGCAAAGAGTGAATGTGAGGCGTGCTGGTTAAAATTAACGATTGTCTCTGAAATAATAGGTTGACTTGTAAGCTTAAGTGAAGACTGAATAGAAAAGAGTAGGTTTAGTAGAGTGGTCTATGTAAGAGCACTATTCTCCTAAACTTTTACAAAGATCATGGTGCAAACACTGAGTTTGAAAAGACACATGGCACAACAAGGCAACAGTGGTCCTTGAGTCTAGATGCAAAGAGTGAAAGTGAGGCGTGCTGGTTAAAATTAACGATTGTCTCTGAAATAACAGGTTGACTTGGTAAATAAAAGCAACCACTCAATTCTAGAAAATTTAAGCATCAACTAAGAAGTATATGGTATGGTGGGGGTCTATAGTAAACAGAAAAAGGATTTAGCAGGGAATAAAAGAAGCAATCATAGGTCTTCAAGTTCACACCTTGATGCACCTTATCAACAGATACCTTGCCCAATCTATTGATAGCTGCAACTTGGGGATTCAATGTGGAAGCGCAACTTTTCTATGACAGAAACACAGGTTTGGCATGATAATTAAAGATTATAAGCAACAATACAGACCACCACACTTTCCACTCAGTTTGAAGGCTCAATTTTTATTTCCAACAAGAGAAAATCCAACCACCAAAGGCCAGGCAACAATAAGAAACTCGCTGAAGAGGAAAAGTACCTTCTTTAAGCAGCAGCATTCACCATCTCATCAGCATAATTTTCCAGCAATGGCATCGTTTGGGTGGGAGATCCCATGCTGCTGAAGTGACCAGCATGAATTTTCTTCTCTTCTTTAGCCTTTCCCCACATAACAGAGTAGAAGCCAAGAACTATTATTATCACCCCAAGCAAACTGCAGAAAATCAGGCATCAAAATTTTTTTTCTCCAAGAAAAAAAAAGTCATAGCTATAAACTTTCAAGAGCATAAACATTAGACAGGGCCTGATTGCTCCTTCATCTTGAGAAACAAAATTACTGGAATGGAATGTGCAACTTTCTATTATTGTCTTTATCTCATATAAGAGCATACAGATACCTTATAAGTTATAACTAATCCATCTTAGCAAAATATATACTTTGTACTTTTTATTCTTGGTTTGAATTTTCTAATTGTCATATACTTGTTCCATTTGACTGAAAATTATTCAAGTATCTCTCCATGGTTATGATACAACTCAGACAAGTTATAAAATCCACTTTATCGATTTCCATGATCCTGCAGCAAATCTACTCAATTAAGATAGTCCTTAATACAACCCCTGTCAAACGTGAAGTGTGAAGTTCCAACTTTTTTTTTTTGTAAGTTGTCCTACCTAAAGTTCCTAAACATTAATTGTTCCTAAACATTAATTGTTCCTAAACATTAATTGCTCTACGTCCTCTCAAACAACCATATTATGTTCAACGAAATTTTTGTTTATCATTGTAGTGATTATTGTCTTTTGTGTCTAATCAAAGAGGAATATTTACAAGAGGGAGCCCCATTCCAACCAAGCCATTACCTTGATGCAGATGTTACCTAATTTAAGTACAAGATTGAGTATTGGTATGCAATTCTCGCTACCTAAGTACCTAATTTTGTTATGTATCACATTCACATACTAATTCACCTTTTACAATTTACACTTCATAGTTCCCGGAGAGAGAGAGAGAGAGAGGGGGGGGGGGGGGAGGTCTATGCCTTTAGCATAAAAGCCAAAAAACTGTCAAAATCGTAACACTATCATCAGAAGCAATGACTTCCTTAGTAAGAAAAAAAGATACCTTCCAAGAAATAATGTATCCCCAAAGAAAACAACACCTGCAATTGCAGCTATTGCAATTCCCAGAGGCTTAAACATGCAAACAAAAACAGGCCCCTTCCTTCGCAGGCACCATGAGCAAAGGCCAACTTGGAGGGCAGAACCAAATATTGCCTACACAAACGTATATTTCAGCAAGGAAACCTAATAAGGACTACAACAGTAATATTAAATCAATATAAGAATTTCTTCTGACCTTGAGGTTCTGTATTTTAATTAAAAAAAATGCTTTACTTTGTACATTTAGCTACACTGCCTAGTCAATCTAGCAAACATTGTTGGAACATTTATAGATAAATGTGCTTATGAGTTCATATATGAAGTTTATATTATGCTAGGTGTTGAGGAGGATTAGTATAATGATTATACTTAGAGTTATGGCAAAGCAAGATGTATTAAAGTGACAATACAAGGCAAAATTGACTAATTTGTGCTTTGCCCTGGCTGCCAGGGCAAGCTGTAGAGCGAGCACGAGTAAAAATTGTCAATTATCTCAATTTCATTGAAATGCTGCTCGCACCCGGTAGGGCTCAATTGCCCGGTCTGCCAGGGCGAAGGGGGTTTGTCAGTTTTTACATGTTTTACAAAAGTATTGCTCGCGCCCGGTAGGGCTCCATTGCCCGGTTTGACCGGGCGGAGTTCAAAACTGACGGTTTTTGACAGATTTGAACATATTGCTTTGTGAACGGACAAATCCGTTGGATATTTACTACTCTTCATATAAACTCTATAAATAGGAGTTTGTATGACATATATGATGAGATAGGATGAAAAAAGAGATTATCATTAAACTTGCTTCTTTTGAGAGAATTTAATCTATAGCATTTTCTCTTAATTGGTTTTACAAACACTTGTTCACAAACTTTTTGTAGATTGATTTTGAGAAACAACCAAAATCAGTTGTCTCTTCTTTGTATCCCAATAATTATATCGTGTTAACCCTATTGTTTCGTAGAGGGTCGATAATAAATTATTAGGAAAGCGGCTATGATACGTGCCTAGAAGAAATATCCGGTCCCTCTTGTTCATTCCTCCAAATTTTGTTCTAACAAACATGGGACTCAAATTATAACAAAAGATAGGAAGCAACCCCACAAAGCCAAAGATGGTATTGAATTAAAAGACAAGACCTAAAAAAAAAAGAATAGAGTGACTACTAAATATACATACCGAGTAAAGAATTGCAAGCAGCCTCAATGTAGGCTTCAGACTCCAAGCACTTAGGTCCCTTTCCACAATAAGTGTCACGATTCCAGATTGGATAGCAACAAAGAAGCAATAAAAGAACACAACAATGAGTTCTGCTGGATACTTTTTGAGAATTATTGCCTGGAAGTAAACAATAGAAAAAGATATCAGCTCATCCTACTAATTGTTGGCAAGTTGGCATTAAGAAATTCCAGAACATACTTGTATGATGACCCAGCTTGACGCCATGACACAATCAATGGCAAGAAAGAAACCACCAAGAATCCAGTTCATTTGATCTCCACGAAGACTAAGTTGATGAGTGTGCAAAGTTGCGAGCCTTTTCAGCAGTGGTGGACCTTCATAAAGAGTCACAACAAATGCTCCAGCAATCGAGACTATGGTTCCTACCAATTTTGCTAGACAAGTTATATTTCTTGTGTTTAGCATTTCCATCCTGAAATTACAAGTTACAATTGTATTTTTACTAACCAACAACAACAAGGCCTTAGTCCCAAAATGATTTGGGGTCGGCTAACACGAATTGTCATAAGGAACCGTCCGAAAAAGAAAAAGAGCATAGCAAAATAATAAGATGTGACTAATTTTTATGCTGGCCGCCACAGGCCTACTGCAACTCTCCTCCTTTATCTGGGCTTGAGAGCTGTAATGAATGCCACAAAGTGACACTCACCTCATTTATACATAGTTTATTTGAAACCCATTAAAATGTTTAACAATAACAGAACCAAAATTTCCCATGAAGAATACTTAACTAATAGCAGTGAAGATATCATTGTTAGATACGTATGAAACATACAAAGGCCACCACTTTATTGTCTATATGCTTCAGCTGAGGTGTATTTCAAGTCTTTTTTGGTAAGTAAAAATGAGATTTGACAAACATGTGGATTCCAAACTCTACGGTATAAGTAATTTCAAAACGGACTTTCAATTTGGGGAAGACAGTGTTATACAGTTTGACATAAAGACATTGATTTTGGAAAGCAACTCCTCATAAATTTAGGGTCTCATTTTTTCACTAACGATGCTCACAATGAATGGTTCACTATGCAACATGAGCATTCTTAGTTGATGGCCATAATGCGTATCACACTCTGAACTTATCACTAAAGAAAGATTAGCTTATGTTTGGCAAAATGGGATTGGTATATAAATTTCCAGAATACGAAAGGAAAGAGGTATTTTTGCAATTACTATTGCATATAGGCATATAGTTATCCAAGACAAAAGAATAGCACTGCATAGATGTAAACTGTGGGATGATTTTTAGAATCTACACAGCAAAATTCTACTCCATATTTGCCCCAAATAAAACTTCAAACATAATTTAGAGTCCGACGTGCTTACACAGGATTTCACTTAGAGTCCGATGTGCTTAGTTGCTTACCACAAGAGGACCATCGCTTAATTACAAATATCTTCATAATTGAAAGGACAAATCCAGCCTAAATTTAATTACGCTAGAGTATCGCTATTAACAAATAAATAAATAATAATAAATAATAATAAAAAATCATACCTAAAGATGATTGCGAGCAAAAATGTTAGCCCGGGAACAAGGTTCAGCATAGCCGCCCCAAGAGTAGGAGAGCTATAATTGATGCCTATATACCCAAATAACTGAGCCAAACACCTAAATCACAAACAATCAACCCATTACACATAGTCCAATAGATTCAAAAAGGGTATTCGAAAGACCAATTTAAATATTTTTTATAATTCGAGAAGATTAACAAAAATCCATCGCACAAAATTGAAAATAGTAACAGAAAATCCAAATTCATTAACACTATAATTAAGAAGAACACAACCCATCACACAAAACTCAAAAGGGTACCATAAAAACCAATTCAATCACCCTATAATTCAAAAAGATTAACACAACCCATTGTAATAATTTAATGATATGAAAAGAATACAAAAAACCAAATTCAATAACACTACTGAATAAGAAGAAGATCACAGCCCATTAAACAAAATTGAAAAGGGTACATGAAAGTTTTATGTACATTTACTAATATAAAATGATAAACACTAGTATGCAACCCATTGCATTTATTTGAAAAGGGTACTAAAACACATATTCAATTACACTAAATCAAGAAAAAGCACATAACCCATTAACCATCATACAAATTTCAAAAGGGTAACAGGAAAAACGAATTTAATTATCTTATATAGTTTAAGATGATTAACACAACCCATTGCATTAATTTTAAAAAGGTGACAGAAAACCCAATTCAATAAAAATATATATTAAAAAAATAAATGCAATTTTTACATAAAATTGAAAAGGGTATCAGAAAAACAGCAAGCCTAACCCAGAAAGAGCAAGCAGAAAAAACCATCCGAGGAGGGAGAAACTGAGCGGGGGGAGATTTGATCTGCAATTAAAGACAAAATACGAGTCAATTTCAGGTAAAAATTGCAGAAAATTGATTGAATTGGAAGAGAGAGAAAAGGGGGGAAGACCTGTGAAGGAAGAGAGAGAAAGGAAGGAGGATGAGGGACGCAAGAGCATTGGAGTAGGAGACGAAGACGAAAGTAGTCATACCAGTATTCATAGCTTGTTTGCTGATAATCATGAGTCCAACTTGGCAAAATTCCGCCATTAACATTCCTATGTAAGGAGCTGCTTCACTCTCCATCTCTTATTCGTTCTTTATCTATCTGTATAGCACTTCTGAATTCTGAGGAAGATGTACTTCGTATAAAATTAGTACACTAGATCAAGTATGGACGACTTGGACTGATTTGGAGATGCGACTGGTTTGGACTGATTTGGTAATATCATAGCTAGAGCAGGGTCGGGCCATTTTCGTGTTGACTCGGCCAATGTCTATCTCTAATAGAGTTATAAAGGCAATGATTATAAGAGAGTGAAAGATAACTCAAATGGTTAGAGCTTTTCTCCTAGAAAATCTCTTGTGATCAATTCTCACACATATTCTTGTGGCTCTCTAAACAATATAAAAAAAAGGGAAATTGACAATTTCTTTTTAATTAAATTAGATTTTTATTTATTTATTTACAGCAATAAAGAAAGAAGGCTAGTTCACAACTAACTCAAAATAACAACGAGAAAATTTAAACCTCTTAACCAAACTAATACAATAACTAAAAAGGAGATTGGGGTTACACACACTATGAATTATTTGGCAAAGCAAATAAAGGGCTTGAGAAAATCCATCCCAAGAACTAGCCATAAGTTGTTCCAAGCTAGTCCCTTGCATTTCTTGATCCTGCAAAAACAACAATGGAGATACCTTTTACCTTTCTTGTTCTTCACCCTTGACCTGATTGGTCTTCCATTTTTTCTTGACATGTCAGAGAACATGAATGTAGGGAGTGTTGGAGAGGGTTGCACATAAAGATGACATTGGATCAGGCCGGCTCAAAGCTCTGCATGGCCCAACATGAAAAGGCACAGCACGTCACAAACACGGGCACGAAAAAAGCACGGCGCGACACAATACTGTGCATGCGTGCTATGTGCCGCCTTTATTTGGGAATAGCGGGATAAGACACGGTATGATCGGACTCAACACCACAAAGCATGCCAAAATCAATGCAATTTTTTTAGGCACACTAGCCCGACACAGCGACAAAATGGCATGTGGGCCTGAGCCGTGCACGGTCTAACCTTTTGAAAATTTCGGCCCGGCACGACACGATACGAAACTCATGGGCCAAGCCATAGGTCGGGCCCAAACACACGTGGGTCTGGCAAGAGACATGAACCGGCACGACCCATAGCCATCTATAGTTCAATAGTTGCACATGGTCTAGATCAACTACCATAGGGTCTTTGTCGTTAGAACCTACATATTTCACTTCATCGCCATAAGTGGTAATTAAATTAGAATTTTAATACATAGACTAATCCAAATGTCTTTGTAGCTAAGAGCTTGATTTCATTGTTTTTTTTTTTTTTTTTTTTTTTTTTTTTACTATTTCATGGAATGTGAGCCATTATAAAATGTTTAATTCTAACATTTACGAATTACTTCAAAATGTTTTGGACAAAATAAACCAATAAATTTGTGATACTTAGATTCAACGAATACTATTATGAAGTATTATACACAAACAAGAATACGGTGAAATACGTTTTGGCCTTTTGGGTCTTTGATTTTATGTGTTGGGAGAGTTGTATATGTACAAATAGAGAAAAAGTGGGGCTTTGCCCCTCGTGTGCACCACCAAAAAAAAAAAAAAAAAAAAAAACCAAATAAATAAATAAATAAAATAAAACCAAATAATGAAATAGTGTTTTAACATCACTAATTAGAAAGATACTCAGCTTTATTATCATTTTAATTAATTAATCATATATGGTATAATTTTACTATTACTTACAATCAAATACACTAGTACCAATCATTCAATGGAATAATTCAATAATTAGATAAACTTGTGAAATTTTTGCATCCATGCTTCAATTCGCAACATAGGGACACCTTATGACTTATGAGATCACATCTCTTGGGTGTTATATATCCATCGTTCACATCCTCCTTGTGAGTTTCTTGTTGGGTCTTCCCCTTCATCATGGTGTAGAAACCCAATGCTATGATTGTTCCAACAATAACACTACAAATAGCAATATTTTCCGAGTTTAGCATCTCACTATGAAACATGTCATAAGATAAGCTCAAGAAGATTAAAAACATGCTAGTAAACACGGTTTTTATATCATCACTCTGTTGTAGAGAATTGTCCCATGTCTGTACATACTAGGATCATAGTATGCCATTCTCTTTTTTTTTTTTTACTTTTTTTGATTCCATAAATAATGTGAATTTCCATCTAATTAAGCATCTCATATGCAGGTTCTTGTCAGATACCAGATATTAGGATTTCTTCCTACACAGTAAGCTCAGCTCACTAGAAGACAACTTGTAGTCTGGTACAAGATTGGGTAAGCAGACCTTGTAACATAAATGTCATGCACGTACTCCGTCTAAATTTACAATTATTGTGCCTCATACCGCAGTTATTCGAAACCTTCTACACAAGAGAGCTCTAACATTGGTCTATCAATATTTCATGCAGTTCCTCTGTATGCAGCATAGTTCGTATGCAGCATAGTTCAAAACCAACCAAAATACAGTGATATAATGTTCTTCAGTCATACCACATACACCCAAAGGCATCTCTTTACCATCACCCATCAACAGTTGCTTTGAATTGAGACGATAGTAGGAATAAAGTTTTCGTTGTTTTCTAAAGTGTAACTAGGTTAGGGTAGGTTGAACTTTAAGTTTTCACAACTTCAATATCTACAAATTCACAAGCAAATCAACATGAAACTCTGTTACTGCCATCAACCAAACTTACTTTGACCCCAATCCAAACATAACATAGATTCACCAAAATCCCAAGAACTAGCCTGTATGGTCTTTACATTCACTCAGATTTAGATTCATTTTCTATCTAACAGGAAAAAAATCCAACCACCAAAGGCCAAGCAACAATAGAAAACTCGTGGAACAGGAAATTTACCTTCCTTAAGCTGAGTTAAGCAGCAGTATTCACTGTCTCTTCAGCATTATTTCCCAGCAAAGGCATTTTTTGGGGAGGAGACTGTAAGCTGCTGGATTGACCAACATGGCTTTTCTTCGCTTCTTTAGCCTTTCCCCACATAACGGAGTAGAATCCAAGTACTATTATTATCACCCCAAGCAAACTGCATCATAAGCATTCTGAATCAGATTTTAGAAATTTTAGTCCGAGAGAAATAGTCATAACTCATAACAATACACCTTAAGAGTGTGGAAACGGATGGGAACAGAATGGGATGTGCAACTTTCTAACATTGTCTCACATAACTACATAAGAGTATACAAATACTTCCTAGGTTTTCTTAATAACAAATCCGTATTAGCAAACATCTTTATTCTTGGTTTACTATATCTTTAATTGCTATATTTTTGTTCCAATAGAACAAAATTTATTCAAGTATCTCTCCATGGTAGTGATACAGCTCAATGACTCATACAAGGGATAAAAATCCATTTTATTGGTTCCACAATTTTGCAAGAAAGCTACTCAATTATAAGATAATCCTTGCTAACAAAAAAATTATGTCAAACAAAAAACTTCCCAGCTCCCACTTTCTACTTTAAGATGTCCAACCTAAAGTTCCCAAACATTAAATGCTCTATAATCTTTCAGCCACTTATAAAATTCAATTTAGCATGAAGTTCCATAAATTGTGTTCCACTATGCAACATATCTTATATAATCAACTTTTGCAGTGCATTATTTGTTGTCAATTCACCTATTGAAACAATGAAAACATATGAAGAACCAATCCAGCCAAGCCATAGACATACCACATTTTATTTATTAATTTGACTTTTTCAGTTCATAGTTTGCCTGGGGGTGGGGGAAGATTAAGGAATTTGAATTGGTAACTATGCCTCGAGCAACATTGGCATAAAGATTGTCACAATTCTCAGGGAGTACCAGCATCAGTAGCAATAACTATGCATGAAGAGACAACGGTAATTGTTACTAAGAAGGAAGGATACCTTCCAAGATATAATGTATCCCCAAAGAATATAACACCTGCAACTGCGGCTATGGCAACCCCCACAGGTTTAAACATGCAAACAAAAACAGGTCCCTTCCTTCGCAGGCACCAAGAGAAAAGGCCAGCTTGGAGGGCATAACCAAATATTGCCTGCAAAAATGGATATTTAATCAAATCTAAAGACCAAAAGAAAATGAGCAGACTGGTCTCTAAGCAAGCTTACTGAGTAAACAATTGCAAGCAGCCTCAACGTAGGCTTCAGACTCCAAACACTTAGATCCCTTTCCATAATAAGTGTCACAATTCCAGATTGGATAGCAGCAAAGAAGAAGTAAAAGAACACAACAAGGAGCTCTGCTGGATACTTTTTGAGAATTACTGCCTGGAAGTAAACATTAGTAATAAATATCAGCTGATCAGCTCATCCTACATTCCTACTGATTGCTGGCACTAAGAGAGATTTCTAGAACATACTTGTAAGATAACCCATCCTGATTCTATGACACATCGAATGGCAAGAAAGAAACCACCAAGAATCCACTTCATTTGATCACCATTATGACTAAGTTCATGAGTGTGCAAAGGCGCAAGCCTGTCTAGAAGTGGTGGACCTTCATAAAGAGTAACAACAAATGCTCCAGCAATCGAGACCATGGTTCCCACCAATTTTTCTAGGCAAGTTAAACTTCTTGTATTTAGCATTTCCATCCTGAATTACAAGTAAACAATGTATTGTGGTCCTTATTGTTTATGAAACCAATAAAAATAACAAAATTAATTGTCTCCACTGGAGAGAGAAATACTCCATACTCTACTAATAGCAATGGTGATAAAGCATAGCCAGTTACTAATGAAAATCAAAAGCCACCATTATCCGTATGCTTCAGCAGAGGTTGTTATCAAGTCCTTTGTTGGTCATTAGGAATGAGAATTGACTAACATGTACTCCAGTATTTTCAAAACGAATTTTCATTTTGGGAAAGAAATCTTTTTACTATTGACATAAAGACAGTGACTTCGGAAAGCTACAATTCATGAATTTTAGGGCCTCGTCAATTAAATACCTATCAGCTCATGTGCAGTGGTGCAATCTGCAACATGAGCAGTAGATGTTGATGATGGCCATGATGCATATCTCACTATGAAGCTATTCCTAGAGGCGGACTATGCACATGTTTGACAAAATGGGATTGGTATATAGCTATGGCGGTGTAGAAGTTAGTCTTGCATAATTAAATGGAGTAGAATTTAGGAGATTTAATACGAAATATAGCATACTCTGACATGGGCACTAAATAGTATATAACATATAACAAACTCTGACAAGAGCACTCTGTAACAGCACTGCACTTGGGAGTCCGAAGGCTTTCCACAAGAGGACTATTGTTCAATTACAAACATCTTCCTAATCAATAGGGGAAATCCAGCCTAAATTTAACTAAACTAGAAGATCAAAATCACCAAATAATTAACGGGGTGGGACTAAGAGGGTGGAAATGGGAGTTAAAATCCCAACATGACTAATTTTCTGGTTTGTTATAAGGGAATGGACACATTATACATTATAATTATAGTCATGTTACACAGTGTTCGTGTCAATTCCCAATTCCCTCAAATTCCCGTTTCACAAGTTAGGCTGTTAAAAGTTGACACGAAATATAACCCAACACAAACTTGACCAAAGGGTTTTTGTTAAGAATTATCAACTTGTTTAGATAACAGGGTCAACAAAACCTGAAACAAATTAAATGGGTTAGGTTTGGAGTGAAACTTTCAACTGAACACCAACACCCAGGTAAACCGATTACAAAAATGGGTTGAACACTTGAATGTCAACCCAAACCTAACATGCTCAATAAGCAGGTTAAGTTAGAGCAACATATAAGCTTTAAATATATTTTAAAAAATAAATTTAGGAACTTATGACAAAATTCCGTGTAGGGTGGTCAGTTGGTGTAATTAATGTTTAATAATTCATATTAATTCCTTTTTTGCTTTTATGAGTAATTGAATAGCTCTTAGAGAAATATTTATCATTTTCCAAAAATCAAAAAGAAAAATGAATGAATAAACAAGAGAGAGAAATTTTTTTAAAAAAAAAAAAAAAAAACATACCTAAAGATGATTGCAAGTAAAAAGGTAAGCCCTGGAACAAGGTTTAGCATTGCCGTCCCAAGAGTAGGAGAGCTATAATTGATACCGGCAAACCCAAATAACTGAGCCAAATACCTATATCACAAACAGAAACATGATCCATTAACATAATTGAAAATGGCAACAAAAATCAATAAGCATATAAAAGAAAAGAAGCCTAACAAGCTAATTAAAATTTTAATTAGTTTATTATTGGATTTGTACCATAAATGATTATATTATCCTATACTAATTAAAGAAGATCAGCCAACGCATTGATTTGAAAAGAGTACCAGAAAACCCAATTAAATAACAATATAACTTAACAAGAATAACAAAAATTAAGACGGGTACCAGAAAACCCAATTCGATAGCATTATAAGTTTTATAACTTAAGAGGAATAACACGATCCAATGCATAAAATTAAGAACGGTACCAGAAAACCCAATTCGATAACATTATAACTAAGGTAGAAGAACACAATACCATTGCACAAAATTGAAAAGGTACTCTTACTAGAAAACCCAATTCAAAAGAATGAAGTATACTACCTCCGTTCCATATTATTTGCAACAATTTGACAAAAAATGTCTAATCGTTGCAAATAATATGACATTAAGAAAGACAAACACAACCCATTACAGAAAATTGAAAAGGGTATCAGAAAAACAGCAAAACTAACCCAGAAAGAGCAAGCAGAAAAAACCATCCGAGGAGAGAGAAACCGAGCGGGGGGAGATTTGATCTGCAATTGAATACAAAAATGGAGTAAAAAATAGAGGTAAAAAAAGATGAAAATGGAGGGAAGAGAGAGAAAAGTAGGGAAACCTGTGAAGGAAGAGAGAGAAAGGGAGGAGAATGAGAGACGCAAGAGCATTGGAGTAGGAGACGAAGACGAAAGTGGTCATACCAGTGTTCATAGCTTGTTTACTAATAATGAAAAGTCCAACTTGGCAACATTCCGCCATTAACATTCCTATGTAAGGAGCTGCTTTACTCTCCATCTCTGTTTTTTTTTTCACTCTATCTGTACACTCAAACACTATACGTACTACTTCAACTTCTGAGGAGGAGCTTTTAGACATATCATTATATTAATTTGATATTATGCATTTATACTTGTATAGTTTCACTTTCATGGGGCCAACATAATTTCCATTGGACTTCTACGGTTCTACCTTGTGTCCATGTGTTTTATTTTGTTTATGAAAATCTTAGTCATTATCCCAATTTAATTGGTATATTTGTCTTTAGATTAATAATTAATAATATATTTAATTTATATATATATATGTATATATATATATATATATATGTATATATATATATATACGGGTGATTCCGCTGAAAACAAGGCTTATGCTGAAATCAGGGCTTAAGCTGAAAACAACAAATCTCAACCATTCAATATTATCACAAAAGATCAGACGGTTTAAAAGCCCTAAGATCTTTCCAACCGTACATATAATCAATTAATCGTTTTAAGGTCACTACATACTAAAATAAGGTAACTTTATCTAAATTTACTACATTTACATAAGGTCACTATATAAAAATAAAGTCACTATATATAAAAATAACGTAACTATATCAATTTTCACGATATTTACACAAAGGTCATTATGTACAAAAATAAGGTAATCATATCAAATTTGACAACATTTTTACATAAAGGTCACTATGTACAAAAATAAGATAACTATATCGACTTTGAGTTGTTGACTCCATTTACATAAAGGTCACTATGTACAGAAATAAGGTAATTATATCGACTTTGAGTTTTTTTACTCCATTTACATAAAAGTCACTGTATATAAAAATTAGGTAACTATATCAATTCTAACAACACTTACATAAAAATTGCTATATACAAAAATAAGCTGACTGAAACAAATTTTACAACGTATCCATGATGCTAAGGACATTATATACAAAAATAAGGTAGCTATATATAAACTTGGGATATCTATATCAATTTGACATCATTTACCCAGAGGTCACTATATACAAAAAAAAAAAAAAAATTATATTAAAGTATAACAATTTTGACGATATTCACACAAAGCCACAAAGGTCACTATATATAGAAACAAGGTTACAACCGTTTACCCAAAGATCACTATATATGAAAATAAGATAACTACTCCTATATCACCACATGCCAAACTATATGTAAGCCTATCAGGCTATCACTCAAGTAGCTCCAACTCCAATCGCACAACCAGCTGCAACCATTAGCTCGCCACCGTACCAAATCTCGGACGCTGCACCACTGACCAAACACCAATCCGAGCTGCAGCAACTCTCGAACCACACCACGAGCAACTACCTAAGAAAACACCATCAATCGTAGCAATTAATAGGAAAAGAATATAAAAATTCTAATTGCAAAACCAAGAAACCAAATCTGATGCATAAATGGCAAAATAAACAACCACATGATGTTCTTTTGACAACAGCCACGTGATTGAAGCAACTTTGGATGTTTCATTTACCTTTCAACGAGACAAAAGCTGAGACTCATACTCCAACAACCAAAGTCGGGCTTTCAGATTGTAAATCAGTTATAGTCGCATCTCACACCCACACAACAACCACCAATTGCTCCACCAATTAGCCACCAAAGCCCGATTCTAACATCACAAATTTGACCTCCAACAACCAACATTTCAGTCACGTGACGATTAAATTCCACTGATATGCATATAGATTATATGCAAAAATTACAAAATTAAACAAGGACAACAGAGTTAAGTGCAAAAATTACTCATAAAAACCTAATTAACTAAAATCAATCAGAGTTAAACAAAATACCATTCAAACCTACAACTATGAAAATGAAAATGTAGTTGATACTCAAAAATTCAAATCAAGTCGATAATTAAAAAAAAAGGCAAATTACAAAATTAAACAAAAATCAGAAACAAAAAACGAAAAAAAATATACAAATCATAAACGAAAAACTTGAAAAATTACTCATAAACAATGGTACAACGAAATTATGAAAAAAAAAACTCAAAAAACAACGATTATGAATAAAATCAAAAAAAAAATTTTAAAAAAAAAAATTACTCAAATCAGAAACGAAATACTCAAAAACAAAATTACGGAGTACTCAAAACACACCGATTTGGAGCTAAAATTTCAAGTTCAATCTACAAAAAAATACGCATGAAATTCGGAATACTAAATTCATAAAGCATAAAGCTAAATTAAGTACCTCAAATCAAGCAAACTAGCGACATTAATCAAATAAAATAAAATTTAACCGAATTACTCACATGATAATAGATGTAGAGCTGAGAAATTGATGAAGAATCAAAGTAATTGAAAGTGAGTATGGATTTTGCAGAAGAATTGGGAAAGTAAGAGAGAGAAAGTATGAGGAAAGAGAATAAAACGTGGAAAATGAAGGAGGAGAGAGAGAAAGTATAGATACTCCGTATTTAGCATGAAAATAGAGGAGAAAATCTCAACCGTTAGATTTGCTGAGTTAGTGTAGATTGTAATCTAATGGTCTTAATCGCCCGTTTTCAGTTTTCAGCCATAGGTTTGTTTTCACGTGATCCACACAATATAATTATTAACTTGAGATTTGTCTACAATTCTCAAAATAATTCAACACGTACTACTGTGTGTGTGTGTGTCTATATATATATATAGGAGGAATCTGGTGAAAACAGGCCCATATGTGAGAATTCATACTTATATGAGAATTGATCTTAAATTTAGAACATATGAGTAAAAAATTAGAACATACATATGAATAAAAATTTAGAAAATCTATTTTATTGAATTTAGAAAATCTGATTTAAGATTACGAACACGTGAATAAAAATTTAGAACACCTTTTATAAAATATAGAAAATGTGAGTAAAAATTTAGAACATTTGAGTAAAATTTAGAACATACGCTTTTAAATTAAATCTAGAACATATGATTAAAAATCTTAGAGCACACGTTATAAAATTTAGAACATATAAGTTAAGTTATTTAACATTTATAACATCAAACTTAACTAATTTATGGTTTAGAATATGTGAATATTAATTTTGAACATTTAATTTAATTTAGAACATAAAAAGTGTTCTCAAATAAGAATAATTCTCACATATAGAAGAAGTTCTCACAAGAGTCTTCCCCTATATATATATATATATATATATATATATATATATATATATATATATATATATATATATATATATATATATATATATATATATATATATTGTAGACACCCAAATGTGTCTTCCCAAAACCAAACCCAGTGATGAGTACTTTTCACGTTGAATCATAATCGAATGAAGTGAAAGTGTGGAAAGTCTAGTGTTGCGGAAAGTTTTAATTTCTTTTCTCTTCTCTCTGTTTTTGAAAACTTATTTTAAGAAAACAGCCAATCCAGTTTGGTTGGTCCATGATATGGGTCCAATAGTAGTATAGTTGGATGGGGCTTGCAAAGACCTTTCCAACGATATATTATAAGCCCAATTCCGATGAATATTGAGGAAGTTATGGCCAATTTACTAAACTGGGCCTGGTTTGAGCTTTATATACGGCCCAATGATCTAGGGGAAGGCCTAATATGATTTATCATTCCTAATGCAATTAGGAATGGTTTTAGTTTTCTAGAATCTTCTAGAAGGTTCTTTTCATTCCTAATTCAATTAACATTGATAAATTGACTTTTGTTGACTTTTCAGAGTTTTAATCAAAATCAAATAGCATTTTCGAGGAAATTATATGATTTTATCCTCCAGTACGGCAAACTTATCTGATTTTCGAAAATGCGTTAAAATTAGGCTTGGCGCCTAACCCCAGGCCTTGCCGCCTGGAACCAGGCCTGGCGCTAGCCATTGGCGCCTAGCGTTAGTGTTGGTGTCTGGCGCCAGCTAGCCAGGGTTGGCGCCTGCTCTATTTTTTGTGCGTCAGACTCTGTTTTGTTTATTTTATCTTTTTGGCTGATTTTCTCTATAAATATCGTATTAAAAACTCTGTTTTCATTCACCAATTGACACCAATTCTCCTCATTCACCAATTCTCATCTACATTCATCTACAATCAGTATTCTTTAATCATTCATCATTCTTTCTTTCTTTCTCTAAAAATTGCTTTTCATACAAAATTCCGCATTCACGAGATCTAGAAACACCTAGCCATATTCGAAGTTGCCTTCGCCCTAGACGTGAAAGGTTTTAATTTCTGAGGGTTTGGTCCCAAATCTCTCTTTCAATTATTTAATTTAATTGTTTGTTTATTATTTTCCTTGAAATTACTAACGTGTGTATTTTGTTATTAGAATGAGGTACGAGGCATCAAAGTAAGTACTTTAATGGTTTTGATTGATGTTATGATGTAGAAATCATGTTTACATTGTTATTATGATATTCCTAGTATCATGTCTAGGGTATTTTTAATATTAAATATGATTGTTACGATGCTTCCTATATTCTTCCTAATATTTATGATTGTTAGTATCATGTTAGGGTTAAAGATTTGATTTTTATTGCTTAGTGATATGCTAGGGTTTGTTATTAATCTTGTTAGTATCATGCCTAGGATCTTGCTATTTTATATTAACATGAACATGATTATGATTATAATTGTTATAATTCATGATTATTATTATTATTATGATTATTATATTGTTATAATTCATGATGATTTATTATTTATTATGTTGCCTGATGATTTATTGTTATTGCTTGATCACATCTTTTATGCATGTTTAAAGGGAATTTGTACTTGTAATCACGCTTCATAAGATAATTAATAATCTTGTTAGGTTAATTATGATTATAATTCCAGTGAACGCCAATAATAGTTTATTTGTGCATTAATATTCAACCAACATAGATTAAACAGGTTTAGGGTTAATCCTATTGATTGCATGTTAGTCAGAAAGCGCACATGAATACGATCAGAATAAAGTAGAGGCCTATTATTAGGGCAGGTTCAATCTCTTGTAGGTTGGATTTGTACCTTCATCCCCGAACCCTTTATTTGGTTCTAGACCTTATGGAGTTGACGATCTCTTGGATCGTTAAGGGGTGTAACCTTCACCTCGTGAACGGTTTACAAGTTCCTAAAAAACTTGTTG